AAAACAGACGTCTGTGATGTGGGTCCATGACTGGTCCCTCCGGACGGTGCTCTGAGATCCGCTGGCTGCAGGAGTCGTTCAGACCTGCGGTTCCCTCCCTGCAAACAGCGATGTTTTGGAGCCCTGCGTACCTGAGCTGCACTGTGTCTGGGTGCAGCTTGAATAGGAACTTCAGGCAGCGTAAGGAGGACTAGCTCCCTTTTCAGTTCACAGTTAGTCTTCGGTGGCAGTAGAGCAGGTGTCATTTACTTCAAAATCTTCTGGTGACATACGTATGTGTGCATGTATATCTATACGCACACACACACACATATGAATATATAGATGGGTACTTGGAACACATCTTCCTAGGAGAGAAAGATGTACAGTGCATCCTAGTGCATAGAAACCTGAATTCCTGTGCTTTGAAAAATTCAGCAGTCGAGGCAATCTCGATTTCTGGTTTGGGACGGCTTGGTTGGTATCGCTTCATACCTCCATTCCTTGTTTTTTGGAAAAAGGGCTGCTTGAACACAAAAAAGCGTGAAACATGTTATAGCAAATTACGTTACAATAAGACTTGAATCACTTTGGTTCAAACATAAGCAGGAATTTTCAGATGCATGTAAAACATCACTATTTGAAATTCTTACAGATCTAGGTAATTTTTAGGGGTGTAAGTCTTATCATTTTAAAATGTTACTCATTACTCCAGTAGCAGCAGAAGCTGTGTCCTGGCATGCTAAATATTGTTCAGAGATATGTCTGAAACAGTCCTTGCCACAGAGGTCTTACAGTAGAATGTAATTAGGGTTCTCTATTCTGTAATATGCTATATTAATTAGCAGTCAAAATCCAATTTTTAAAGCCCAGCTTTGAAACGTATTTGCCCTTCAGGCCACATATCGTACTGTCGCAGCTTGAAGCAACCTGTTTTACTGAACTGATCATAAAATAAACTAAATAAAATACATGTCTGCATGTATTTTCCAGTTAGAAGGAAGCGGGGGAACCACTTGCCTTCCCCTTTTAGAGAATTTAGTGTTTTATTTTCAAAGTGGAATGTCCATGCTCTGCAGTTTCTCTGTGTTGTTAAATGAGGCAATGAAATAAACCTTTGCAGAGCAGGCTGAACTTGCACAGAGAACCAGGGTACGTTGTCTTCCAGCTCCAATGAGTGAAATAGAAGCGTGACTTTTGGTCGGGTCAAAATCTGTGCCCGACTGTGCCCTGCCTTTTGCAGAGGTAGCCTGCTTGGCTGCTGGGATCATTGGTGGTACGGCAGATAAGGAAATCTTCTGAACAGTTTATTGTTTATTCTAAGTCAGTTTTTTGTTCTGTGGAAACGGATTGTTCCTCCGGGCAATTTCAGGTTTTGACTGCTGGTCCTTGTTCTCCCTCCTCCCCTCCTCTCCTTTTCTGGAATGAAAGAGGGGAGGCTTGAATGCACATTGAACAGTGGTCCTAAATCTGGCTTCACCATGAGCGCTGCTTGGAAATTTACATTTTCATGCTGGTGGAGGGATACATGTGCATCTCAATGATCTTTCAAAATTTTTCTTTAAATAAAAGCAAAGCTGTTGCTTACCATTCATCCTATTGTGTAGAGGCACAGGACAGCCAAAGTGTAATGCTTTATGAAGGAAGAACCTTGCCCAGAGCTTCTTCCATTTTCAGCTAAACAGTATATATTTTGCATCCTCTTCTTTCCCTTTTCTTCTTCCCTGTTCTGTGATTTGACAAAACTGATTTTTCAAAGTATAAATACAAGAAGTTGATATGACAAAGTCAGTGGTTAATTTTTTAGTTGGAGTACAGAAATTACTGTAATCTCAAGAAGGAGATTACTTTTAACAAATGAAGATGAGAAAGAATAAAAGCACAAATTTGTTGTAGATACTCGGGAGGGATTTTATTCATACACCATGAAAACTCACAGGACCCATTAAGTAATGTAAGTTTTTTGTGTGCACCTTCTTCACAGAAAAGAAGGAAAATCTTGACAGAGATTATCTGAATAGTTTTTTAACTACTGCTTTCTTAAGAGTAAAAATAAAGTACTCATCGCACCATTCCTGAAGGCAGAAATCCACCCTCTGTGTGTGTGTCTGTCTGAAAAAAGGATGAAATGCTTCAACATTGTACAGGCTCGGCCTTGTAAAACATCAGGTGGCAGGTTTCATTGCACCAGCCTTTGCTAAATACTGAAACTTTCAGCAATTAGCATATGTGTGTTGTGTCTGTGCTTTGACTACAATCGCCCTCTCAGTCCCAGGAGGGGGTCTGAGGCTGATGGTTGGGGTTGTGAGGTGGGAGAGCATCATCCTCGGGCACCCCAAGGGGCTGAGGGGTGCCGGCTGCCCGTCCACCCCCAGGGCTGTGTACAGGGCCACCACCGTGTCCTTGGGGGAAGAGCTTCTGCAAATCTGTGATCCCAGACCTGTTGCCCGCGTGACTCAGTGTGAAGGAGTGAAAATAAAGAGTATGGATGCTACAGACCAAGGAGAGCACGGTACAAAGGCGTCTCCAACACGCGGATGGGCATTGCCGCTGGAGGACGAGCCGAGGGCAGCAGCACGGCTGGTGGGAGGTGGAGTGGCCAGAAGGCCAGCTCGGGGGAACCCGCAGCCACCCAGAGACTGGAAGTGTCTGTTGGACAAGTTAATTCATCCAAATAAGCAAACTGAATCGGGGGGGAGGGGGAGGTATTTGTCAACTTGAGCAGAGTTTTGTGATTTATTTCATGATTTAGGGCCAGACAAAATGCTGTGGTCAACGAGAAAAATCATTGCAGATTTTTCTGAGTCCCTAAAGCAAGATTTCAAGTTGCTTCTAGAAGCATAATTCTTCCTACATACTTCACTCTGAAGAATTTATTGTGAGTAACAACAAAGCCTTATGCGATCTGTTGTGAGTTAGACTTAACTTTTAAGTCACCAGACAGATTTAGTAAAGAGAGATTTTGTTGTGATATTTCATTCAGCATTAAAGCTTTTGTATTTATTTTCTGATTTGAGCAGTCTTCGTTTCTAGCATCAGGAATATTTGAATCATTGTATCATGGTTTTCCCCTGTGAAGCAGGGGATTTTGACAGTGAAGAAGAGAAACTTAGTTGGTTTGTCCTCAGGAAGGACATGCCTCATGATTAACAGGAGTTAATTTGCTGGTAATTTTGATCTGTAACCTGTCAACCATTCTGCATGTGCATTTCTGTGAAACACAGCATTCACAGTACTGATGGCCAGGGCAGAGTTTTGAATCACAAATACCTTTTTTCTTTGTGAATGAATTTCCTTTACAGGCTTCCAAGTAATAAATGATGCACTCAAATATGTCAGTGCGTTTCTTTGCTTTTAATGATTAGCCACCAAAAGGCCTAATTTACCCTTGGGCGTACACACACGACTCACTTTCACTGAAGATTGCTGATGTGATGCTGTCCTTTCTGTCCTCTCTGCTGAGACCTGAGCGTCTGGGAGAAGCGATCTCCAGGGTTGCGGGCATGGTACCACCTCTCATTCTGGTGAAACTTTCTTATCCTGAATGATGCTTGGGTGAAGGATCCATTGGATACCTGTACTAGAGTTCTTGCTATGGCAGTTGCTATGCGTACCATGACTTAGGTACAACACATCATTCAAATTGCTTTACAAATAGGCCAGTTAATTCATTATTAATGCCTCTGTGATGGTCATTAGGATTGTTGGCATTAGTGAATGTTGAAAATAAAAATATTTCAGAGTGCTGTTCAGATTAGTGCAGATAGTATTAGCCCCAACTTTTGGATGAAGAACAGCAGCAAGCAGTATTATGCTCTAAAGCACCCATTGTATGTTTGAGTCACGTACCTTGTATCCAAATACTGCATTACGCACTCAGCTGAAATTACGGACTTTTTCAGTAAATGAAGCGTTAGACATGACATTATAGATGGTATAAGTTTAATTTCTAGTTGTCTCCCTTTTACTGAAAATGAATGGTTGGATATCAGTTGGATAAATTTTTACTGTTTTTTTCACTGTTTGTAAATCTTGACGTTGTTGTGATTTGTGTTAATAACACATATAAATGCTTCAGATTTGGATTGTGGGAACAGGATGGGACATTTTGCATTAAAAAGTGTGCGAACACATGAGATTAATTTGCACACAAGTTGTAATGGTTACTGTAAAAGGATAGGTAAGGTGAGCACCTCCGTTGACACGAATCCTTCCTTAATGATGAAAAAGATGCTGTGGTGGTACAGCTATCTTTGCACAGTGAGAGAAGTAAACAGTGTTAACACCCAGAATTTTTAAACAGCTGTAACTGCATCCCTATTCTTCTAGCTTGTTGCCTTTTATTTACTTTTTGGTTGTTTTCTTTTTACTTCTGCCAATCCAAAGACTGTGTGTGAGAAGGTTATGGTGTGACAGTTGATAATTCAGTGTGTCATCCTGATTTATTACCACATTATCAAACTCTGTTTTGAAATAGAGTTACTTAGCTTACAGTCTTAGTTGCTGTGGTTATGCATAAAGTCATTTTGGCATGCAGCAGTCAGAAAGCAGTGCTGAAGACACAGATTTTCCAAATTTGCAAGGAGGAAAACTGTATTTTATGCTGTGGGTTAACTTCTTGTTCCATGTGCGTCCACTCTGGCAACCTCTGGACTTGAGCTGGGCAGCCCCATGAGTTCATGAAGAGATAATAGAGGTGGCTGCAATTGGAAGCTTTGGAGTCTCTGCCTTTGAAGAAATTAAATCCTTGCCTGATTTTATACCTTGGGAAGCAGGACAAGAAGGTGATGTCAAATAAAGTCCACTCAATAGTTGGACATGTGCTGATTTTAAAGGTGAATCAGATTTGGTACCAAGCAGGTTGATAGCTTTCCTTTACTGAAGACAGAACTACTTTCTCCACTTTGGTACATTCAAAGTCTGTTATCAGTTTCAATAAGTGCAGTAACCATAATGTTAAATGTATTACAGAAAAATATTCATATAAATTAAATATAATCAATTTTATTTCTGTTTTTCAGGAGAAGCTGATGTGGACTGGTCCATCTGTAATAAAGACTTAGAGGTAACACAGACAACCAAATTGTTCCATAATTCTTTATTTTTATGTTTATTAACAAGCAAAGCAAGATAAGTGGGATTGAAAAATCCATCTGTAGTTTTTGTGTGGAATCCTTAGCAGTGTCCTCCAAAGGGCGGGCGAAGCCTGAGCTCTTGTACAGCAGGAGGAAGTTCACTTGTTGGGGGAGGCACACGAGCAGAGTGGGAAGAGGGTGCCGGGAACTGGAGCACCTGCATAGACTCCCGGAGGAGGAAGTTGGCTCTTCCTTCCCAGTCTCTTCAGAGACTAGTAATTGTTTTGTGGCAGCTAAATCCCATTCCCACAGGCGGCACTACAAGCCGTCTGTGTTTGGTTAGCCTTCCTGCACTCCCAAGGTTGGACTTGGCTCAGGAGTTGGTACAGTCAGGCTGTAACCTGGAGTACTCGTGCAAGGTACCGTAGCATCCCAGAAGAGTAAGCTTGAGCTGTAAGGTCCGACTCCTTCGATTTCTCTTTCCAGGGTTCAGTAAAGCTTACGTAATCAGGTGACATTAACAAATTCTTGCCCTTAAGAGAAATGGTATTTTTGTACCTCTCCCGTTCACTTCTCCAAATTTTTATTTCAGTTTTTAAAAATTGTGATGTTTGCAAAGCAATAAAGGTTGAAGATAGGATTTTCAGTTCTGTCTGACTACACAGAAAGTATGTGTGAGGTCACTGAGAGAGGGAGTTTTTTCCAGCTTCTCTTTTTTTTCTTCTTTTTCCTTTTTAAATCTTTCTTTACAATTGCAAATTGCAGATTGGGTCTAGACTTGTATAGCATTGTACTTTGTCGAAGAAGTTTCCCTTAATGTGTGCAAGGGAACGTGTAACTTGCATTTGCAATTAATGTTAGTTATATTTGTATTCTGGGAAAAATTCCAGTTCATCACAAAATAGCATAGTGAGTAAAAGTGTCTTGACTAGTCAAAGGAAAGCAAAGCTTCATAAATGCAATTTTAAACAGCAAGAAAGAATGTCCCAGAGTGGAATTCTGAAGAAGACAATACTTCTAGACAGGGCAGACTTCTCTGTAACAGAATTATCCTGTTCAAACCTGGATGTGTAAATTGTACTTCTAAAAAGTTAGATTTTTAACACTACCAGCAGTAACCTTTACAAATTTCCAGTCCTAGCAAACACTAAACCACAGAACCTCAAATGATAAATACATTTCTCTCTCCTTGTCTCACCAGGCACAGATCTCCAACTATGCAAGTGTGAGACATACCAGCATGCGGTACTACACAGCTGATAAAAATGTTATCTGTAGAAATTGCAGTAGACCAGGTCATTTGTCCAAGAACTGTCCTACTCCAAAGGTAAATCCAACACTTGAATTACTCACAGATGCAGCTGTTTTTTCTAATACTCTTTTGTCCTTCCCGTTAGAAACTTTACTTCAGTGGTTTATTATTTCATGGAAAGTTTGCTCCAAGATGAAGGATAGCTTGCAGAAGATCGATTTACTGTATAAAATTAGCTGTCTGTTTTGTGGAGGTCATTGCTTTTGTTGTTTTTATGAGAGAAAAGATCTGTAAGTATAAACTGAGTGAAAAGAGATTCAAGTACAATATAGAAACTTTTTTTTCATATTGTAAAACAAGTTTTAAGATGTAAAATGTTTTTCAAATGTGTTTTCAACAAGGAGAACCTAAGGATCCAAAAATCACCCTTAGTAAATGAATGAAAGCAGATATCTATATAACGAACCATGATGTGAATAATGTTATAGACAAGATGAAATTGGAAATAATAGCAGCTCAGATAGATGCCAGATATTCAGAAAGTTTGTCCAGGGGTTAGAGGTTTAAAAATCAGTCACTATGCTGTGAAGAAGTGGGGGCAGTTGCATGAGAGTCTGGATTTACCAGTCCCCACAACAGAGTCTGTAAAAACCTCAGTCCCTGAGACTGTTACCCACGCTGAGACTTTTGAGTGACTGCATCCCACCCAGCTGAAACGTTAGCCCTTGGAGTGAAGATACACTCAGTCACTGAGAAAATTGACTTTAAAAAGTACAGATATGGCCTCAGAATAGTTTTCAGCATTTTATATTTGTCGCTCCATGTGTTTGTTTGTGGGAGTCACAAGGTGTTTAGCCAAGTGGTTGTGGTGGGCTGACCCTGGCTGGCAGCGAAGCCCCCAACCCGCCGCTCACTTGTGCACCTTTTGTGAGGTGCAGGAGAGAATTGGAAGGCCAAAAGCAAGAAAAACTCATGGGTCGAGATAAAGACAGTATAGCAAGTGAAGAAAAAACGCACAGTGATGCAAAAGCCATCACTCAGCACAGCAGACGGATGCCCAGCCAGTTCCTGAGCAGCACCTACTTTGGAAAACCTCCTTACCCCCAGTTCAGTTGCTGAGCACGATGCCGTATGGTACAGATATCCCTGTACTGGGGGGTCAACCAACCGACTGTGTCCCCCGCCAGACTCTTGCCCACCCCTAGACTGCTCGCAGTGCAGTGGTCTGTGGCACAGACCATATTTACAAATCAGTCCAGTATGTTGTGTTACAACCTGTATATCATGTTCATATGATACAGTTCTGTTTTTCAGCTTTTAAGATTTTTCATGAAAAGATAAGTGTTCGTACAGAGTGCCCAACGCTTCTGCTCTGAGTGAAATATACTTTCCGGTTTAATGATTATTTTTGCTGTATTCACTGAGCAAATAACATTAGTATTGGGCATTTAACAACTGCTTCTGGTGCAAGGTCCAAATCAAGAAAGTAGAAGAAATCTATGGAGTTACAACTTCGAGTTTTGCTCTATTCATAGTCTTCCTTCACTTCGATTCCTTCATGAAACATAACATCTCTGCAATTCCTAGTAAGCAATAGACATTTATTTGGGGTGCTATCTTCTTCATTTCCTCTTTTGATTTTTTTTCTTTTCTTTAATCTTTTGAAACATTCTCGCTTAACATAATTCTCTTTTTGTTTCTCCATAGAAAGTTCCCCCTTGTTGCCTGTGTGCAGGAAGAGGTCATCTACAAAACAGTTGCCCAGAACGTTTTTGTTTGAACTGCTGTTTGCCTGGCCACTATTTCAGGGAATGTCTTGAGAAAGCCTATTGGAATAAACACTGCAATCGCTGTGATATGAAGGGGCATTATGCTGATGTGAGTATAGTCCATGGCAAAGAGCTCAGTCATTATTGGTTTTGTATCTGTCAAAAAATGAATTTACAACCACCACAGTCTTTTCATATTTTCTTTAATTTTATATAGTGCATATTTGTATAAGCATATGAAAATATTGTAGTTAGTCATTACCTAACAGTACCACCGTTTTCATGAATAATGATTCAAAGAAAACAAACTGGAGTGTTCTAAACACTCAGTCTTTAGTTTAGTTTTGTCCAGTTTAGTTAGTGTGGAGAAAAATATCCTCATTTCTGTTGAATGGGAAGTGTGGGGAGGTTGAAATTTGGAGACATGGCATGCTGCAAGCATGCCAGCAAGAGGTAAAGAATAACTCTGATGTTCCAAGAGTTCCATATCCGTGTTTTTTTCACTATGATCACGTATTCATCAATGAAAATATGATTAGAAGTTGAAACTAATGTCTGATTGGGTTTGGGAGGCATTTATAACCATGCTGCATTTTACATTGCAAAAGTACTTCATGAACAAAATGGAAAAGGTACACTTTATTTCTTATGCAAGTATAGGTGAATAAAAATTTTATCTGGCGTTAGCTTATAGGGAAGCAGATCTGCAACCATATTCATGTGCTTAGCTTAGTTTCTGCTTGCTTTTCAGTAGAGTCCTCTATTATTTATGAACATGCAAGAAGAAAGGTAATGATTAAATTAATTGTCTCCCTACTTCCGTATCACTATGGACAAGCCCATCACATAGATAGTGTAAGAGAATTTGTGAAGTAGTGGAACAGTTGCAAAATTGTATACTCTACTATTAAGAGAAAAGTATTGATAGAAACATTTAATGTCTGGAACGTACTGATGTTTTGTCTTAATCCCAGTGATGTTTTCCATCTTCACTACTGTCATTCAGCATCCAACTTTTTCTCCTTAGACCAGCTCATTCAGCTTGGGTAGACACTCTGGTCCTGTTGGCAGTCACTCTAATTCCTCATTTGTATTATGTTACGCTGCGTCTATGTCACAAGCACTGGAGAGAAAAAAGTACTTAGTGCAAATAATAATCTCCATACCGTACCTAACAAAACAAGGTTTCAGAGGTGTTAGCAAGCTTGCGTCTGAATTCATAGTACAAATGGTTCTGTCAAGTGGGAGTATGGGAGCGCTCCTTTCATCTCACTAAAAGGTTGGATGTCCAGTGTATTTCCCACCAGAGGCTTGGCTGCTTGTTTCAGGTTGAGCAGCACAATGGGAGAAGGGTTTCCATTTGTCTCATAGGGAGATGAAGGCCCCATAAAACACAGGCATTCTGCTATTGGATTTTACTGAGCATTCAAAGTTGTCTTGGATAAATGAATGAGCAACTTTGGCATAAAACCAGGTATGGAAATATTAAAAATGTTCAAGTACTGTAAGGATACTGAAGTATGTTGAAGGTCATCCACATACAGTGTATTCTCTGACAGGACAAGGGGCAATGGTTTTGAACTAAAAGAGGATAAATTTAGATTAGATATAAAGAAGAAATTTTTACGATGAGGGTGGTGAGACACTGGGACAGGTTGTCAAGTGAGGTTGTGGATGCCCCATCCCTGGAAGTCTTCAAGGTCAGGTTGGATGGGGCTCTGAGCAACCTGATCCAGTGAAAGGTGTCCCTGCCCATAGCAGAGGAGTTGGAAGTAAATGATCTTTGGAAGTCCCTTCCAACCCAAGCCACTCTGTGATTTTATGATACTGCACAGTAGGTTAGGTCAGTTCTACACTAATTGCCAGGAATCCTGGATGTGGGGAATGTCATGTCATGCACCACCACTGCATGCTTCGGAAGAAATCTAAAGATGTTGAACATGAGCACTTAAAATTATTACAAACATGATGTAGCCTAAGTAAAGCTGCTTGCTCTCTCACTCTCTCTCGCTCTCTCTCTAAACAAAATTTTTTTGATAACAGCTCAGAGAATTCACAAATAGCAACTTCTGTTTCATTTTTTAAGTATGGTGTACCTCAAAGCAAGACACCACTGGTTCTTAAGGTTTTGCCTCCTGGATGAATAATTTCATGTCAAGTTTCAGTGCAGGATGAACTATTTTGGCAAGAGTGTTCTACCTCTGAAGGAGACCTTTATACAGAAGTATTCTTTAGTATTCTTAAGAAAGTGTTGAGTGTTATAGCAGTTGGAAGTTTGGTAGAAGAAGAAAAAGAGATTGGCAAAAGAAGCAAAATTTTCAAGGTTAATAACCATATTTAACATAAAAGATCTGTGGGATTATAACCAGGCAGAAGTTTATTCCAATGATGTTATCACTTTATGGCATCAAGTGATACTAGAAGACTACGGTTGGAAGGGTCTTGTATTCATGTGCTTTTGTGTGTGTGTGTACAAAACCCTTTGCAGATAGTCTTTAAATGTGTGTACTTCTCGTACAGATACATAGAAAGTGCTGAATTTAATTTTAAAAGTATAAACTAGATGAAGGTAATGACTTTGCAGTAGGACACTTAATTCAGTTTAGTAGGAGGTTCAGGTGTGACTGTAACATGAAGATTTGTCCTCATATTTCATAAATACAGGTAGAAGACTTGCTATGTCCTTTCTTTAGTTTCACTGTTGCTTTTTGGTAGCAGCAGTGGTTATGCTGTAAGGACTGAGTTTGATGTGATCCACAGATGAAAATTAAAGTGCCATTAAACATATTTTTATCTTTTTTTAACTTTGTATCATATTATTATGGTTTTACATGTCCCAGAAATTCAGTCCTGTACATAGCAATTAACTTTTTATGCTATTTTTTTTTCTCAAATTAAACACAAAAAGGTGTGGATAAAAGGCAAGCTGTGATAACATCAGCATACATCCCTACTTCGTTTTCTGTCTAAAGATATGACTTAAATGTTTGTCTTCCAAATACACCTGTTCAAATCCCCTAAACTTTGTTGTGTTTTGAAATTCAGAAATACTTGAATGTCCTTCTAAGTGTCTCCTCCCTACCTTTATTTCTTCTATTTGGTCAAAGAATGAGAGAAGTCCTAAGAAGGCCTTCTCCTCCCTTTCGCCAAATACTGAAGTTTATCCGAATAACTCTTCTACATGATAAAGCCTATGTTCCATAACCTCTGTCATTATATTCAGTCCTCATATTGCAGAATCATGGAATAATGGAGTTTCAGTGGGAGGTTTGACCCTGTAGCTTGGTAGTCAGACACGGGAGACTTCCCTTCATGTTCTTTCTGGGTGTCATCTCTGAGCAGGGGAGAGGGGCTGTGCATTCGACTGCTCGTCTGTCTGTCCTCCTCCTGCTG